GAACTTTGTCCTGCCAGGTGATACCAAAAATGTGTCAGAGACAATGCATATGGAATGTGTTCAACTTCCTCTCCTGCTGTGCACAAAGGGTCTAGGACTCACTGCAGTACAGGAGTGTGCTCAGGACACAGGCTCTATAGACCTGGATCTTGGTATATTCCGTCAGCTTCTTATTAAGCCATACTCTCTTTGTGAGTCTAGAGAGCATGGTGGCTGCTTTGCCAATGTGTTTATCCAGCTTGACATCTAGGCAGAGTGTCAGAAATTGTTGAGCCAAGGTACACAAAGTCATGAACAACCTCCAATTCTTGTGTGGAGATGGTAATAGAGGGAGGTGAGTCCACGCTCTGGCCCATGACTTGTGTTTTCTTCAGGCTGGTTGTTAATCCAAATTCTTGGCAGGCCTTGCTAAAGCGATTCATGAGTTGTTGGAGGTCTTCAGCACAGTGGGCAACAACAGCTGCATCATCAGTGAAGAGGAAGTCCCGCATGCATTTCAGCTGGACTTTGGTCTTCGCTCTCAGTCTAGGGAGATTAAAGAGCTTTCCATCTGATCTAGTCCAGAGATAGACACCTTCTGTTGCAGTTCGTGTTGTTCTGGCAACTCCTAAGATGTCACTGGAACCAATTGTATTGGCTCTTGTCTTTTTATTGGTCTATTTCAGTGACGTGGAGAGGAGGGATTTGCTGCTTGGGTAACAGCCTGCGTAGAGCATGACGCCAGGGGTTACTTCCGACAGTGAGAGAGGTCATTGCACCTCACTAAGTAGCTACTGCCTGCTTTAAGCTGGGTAGTCCCCAGCCAGTAAGGTGCTACCTCGCCACGGTCACACCACGGTCAGACCTGATTAGATCATTCTAATCTACATTGCTGCTAGTGTAGTCATTCCTTAAGTGGCACAGTATATGCTTTGCATACAGATGGTTCCATTTCAATCCTTGGCAATTCCAGGTAAGATAAAGGGTCAAAATATATATTGCTAATAACACATAATTAGAACAAGTAATGGCTTCATCAGTGAAAAATGTATCACTGTCACAGTGTGAGCTATTCACCTCTTCCTTGGTTCGCAAATGTGTTTGTTTTGTTTTATTATTTAGTCATCAGGAAATAAACATGCACTTCCATGGCAAGTATGAGGGCTCAGGTGTCAAAGTCTACTCAAATTGTCTCTCTGAAACTTGATTGGACATTTCATCTTTCAATGATGTAGCATCTGTAACTTTAAGTCTTTGAGAAAAACCCTTACCTGAAGTCCTGCAAAGCTATTTATTACCAGTCATTGTTGTTGATGACGAGTCATCTCTCAAATGAATTTAAGACAGATTTCTCTAGGAGAGAGTTTTTGCCTTTTCTCCCTCTCCATAGATCCAAAAATTTGGTTGTGAGCAGTTACCTCTGGATGTGCAGAGAACATCCCCCCTCCCTCCAGCCTGCACTCTCTGAAATAATCCGGGGCTACCTTTTAGATAACTCTGTTCTGAGCCTGAGCAGCTGGCTGCAGCAATCCCTAGCAAAATGCTTTAGTTTCATGCTTCTTTTGTGTAGCTGCTTAGAGACCTTTGAATTAAAAGAAACTGACAGAAAGCACCCTGGCTGAGGCTGTATCATTCAAGTCAGCATTGTCCTGCATGGAGAAGCTGATATCTGACACAGCAGAGTAGGCAGGCTAAATGGCATAGGCTGCAGACCAGACCAGACCAGACCAGATGCACACCTAAAGATGTCTGTCTAAGTGGTAGGCACCAGTGCCCCATGGACTGAGTTTGGGGAGTCATCTCTTCCTTGCCTTATTCAGGGGTGGGCAACTTCCAGTGGTTTTGGGTCCCCACATAGTGACCCCGACAGACTGGGCACTGATTCCACCCCTCCCCCCCGATTCCCATCGTATCTCTCTGTAGCTCTCAAAAGACCAGCTCTTAAAGGCTGAGGGTCCATTCGGAACAACAGACTGAAGTGGTACAGTCCCATCAAATGATTATTCTGGAACAATAGATCAGTTTATAGAATCAGTCTTTGCGGTGAAAAATGTGGTTTGTTTCAGTATGAAATGCCTCTGTGCATGTGTGTGTGTGTATGTGTGTGTGTGCGCGCGCGTGCGTACGCGTGTGCGTATGTGTGTGAGTGAGTGAGTATGTGTGTGTAAGTGGGTGTGATTTGGATTTCTAGCGGCTTAGCCTGGCCTCCTCTACTCTGCCTTTTCTTCTCTGCTGACTTTCCTTGGTCTTATTTGTTCAGCAGCAGACACAGCTCATGATCCGCATAGAGGGATTCACCCCACCATTGTGGAATGAGATATGGGGCTGCCTGCATTCAATAAACATTCAATTCTTCCTTCTTCAAATTCTCCACAAGTTTCTTTCCCCTCTCATTTCAGCTTAGCTGTCCACAATCTCCAATAAATGTTTTACTGCACGACTAACAGAGAGAAGGGCATTAACAGAAGACTTTTCTTCCCACAACCACATGCAGTAAGTACTAATCCTCTTGAGCTGAAATGTGGATCCGTATGTATTTTAAATTAAATTACCTACATGACTGATTAAATCTGAACTTTTTTTCCAAGGCCATGCTAGCTCCTTTAATGTTGCTACCACATAATAAGGACAATTCTATATTCCAGAGTCAGAAATGAATTAAAAAGAGGGAGAGAAAGAACTGAAAGAGTTCTTCTCCTCTAACAACTGTTAAAATGTGGTGGTTTTTAATGTATCATTTGCTCAGGAGAGACCATCTTGTTAGATTAAAGAACCACAATGGAATTCTACCTATGCTTAGAGGGACATTGATTTATTTTTTGTGGAGTTAGAGCTGTTGGTTGACTTTCAAATGGAATACAGTACATACCTGTATATGAACAAATTGGACTTACTCCTTAGTAAGTGTTTTAGGATTTCAGTCTTAGTAATATGCAAATCTGTGCAAACTGAATCAATTAATTAACGGATTACACACCAGATAATAACATGACCAGCCCTATTTATTAATTTTATTGTTACTTAACCACAGAGCTTCCACAACTGATCCTTGGCACAGAAATTAGGTTGTGGAGCTAAACTCTTGTTACCCCGGCTCAAATTAAGCCCTGGGTAATTGCGGATCAGCTACGCAAAGACCAGCGAGTCCTTTCCAGCCGTTCAACAGGAAGGTGGTTCAGAGAGTCACATTCCCAGCACGGTGGTGCGGGGGGGGCTCCCCCCCATGCCACCTTTTCAAAAGCGATGGCCGGTCTTTCTTTCTGCCTGCCTGCCTTCCCTTCCCGGGGTTCTGCCCAGCCACAGGGACTCCTCCGGCTGCCGTTTTGCCTCGCCCTCTCCGCAGGTTGATGGGTGAAAAGGGGGAGTCCGGAGAGCCGGTCTCTCTTTAGGACCCGGGTGGAACCTGAAGCCCGGGCAGTGGCCGGAATGCAGACCACTGCGCCATGCCTACGCTTTATAATTCAGCATCTTGGGAGCCGAGGGGATCCTCCTCAGCCGCCACACCGACACCGGCCGGGGGCGTGGAGAGGCCGCCTGCGCTTCGGGAAAGCGGCAGGAGGCAAACCGAAGCCCTGGCCGCGGGAAACGAAGAGCCGCTCCTCCAGATCGCTCTGTCTGCCCGCATCTATCCTGCTCCTTCTTCCCGTTTTCTTTTCACCTGAAAAAAATAATTCAGGAATTCAGAAAGAGAAGGAGGCGGCGGCGGAGGGTCGGGGGGGGGAATCGGAGGATACGGCGGGCTTGCAAGGGAGCGGATCGTTTCTGGACAGCGGTGGGCAGAGTCGAGCAGCATCTCCTCTCCTCGCGGATACTGCATTGACTGCCTGGCGAGCCCCCTTCGTGCGCTGATCGAACAATACAGGAGGCAGCATCGCTCTTCTCTCTCTCTCTCTCTGCCCCCCCCTAAACCCGGCGTCTCTCCTTCCCCTCCTTCCCGCGCTCGCCCCCCCCCTCAGCCCGCCTGGAGGGAGGAAGGACCAAGAGTGAGGGCTTGCGGGGAAAGTTGCAATTCACTTGCGGGGGGCGGGTGGAGGGAGTGCGGGGGCGATGCCTCCTGAGTCTGAGCTGCTGCTGCTGCTGCAGGAGGAGGAGGAGGAGGGCAGAGCGGGCTTTTCTGGGGCCAGGAGGGAGCCAGCCCGGTGGGCAGCTGCGGTCATACCCGGCTCCGACTGAAGGAGGAAGGCAGGAAGGGAAGCAAGCGCTGGAGTGCAAGCATCATCATGAAGTCCTGGCCATCTCAGGCGTTGGGGATGCTGCTGGTCTGGGGTGAGTCTTCCCCGCTTTGATCCAGGATTTTGTTTTTTTTAAACATGGGAACAAAAAAAGGCGGGTGGTGGAAATGTGTGTGTTTGGACGGTGGGTGGGAAATGCAGGCGAATGGTGCGAGCTGGACAAAGAAAGATCCGGCGGGATCCGACGGTGCCCGTAGCATGTGGCTTGAAGGAGGATCTCCGTGGCGGGCTGGGCTGGGCTGGGCTGGGGAGGCTCATATGGAAAGATGAGCAGCTCTGAGGGACGGGTCTGTAGAGGTTTCTCTGCGGATCTGGTCGTGAGCAGCTGGGTGCCTTTCTAGTTCCTCACCAGCCGCCGTCTGCTTCAGCTCCTGGGCATGGTGTGTCCGTGTGTGTCCGTGTCCGTGTCCGTGTGTGTCCGTGTGTGTGTGTGTGTGTGTGTGTGTGAGAGAGAGAGAGAGAGAGAGAGAGAGAGATGGGAAACCCGCGCGTAGAGCGGGAGGGCCCCCGCAAACGTCTTTGTAACCTCGTGGAGGGTGTGTGTGTGTTGGTGGGGGGGGAGTCCGCGCCTGGAAGGACGCTCGTGTTCTCTTGGCCATTTTGTTTCAAGCCCTCACGTTTGAAAACGTGCTCCAGGTCCAGAAGGAAGGGTATTATTTATTTCCCTGACACGGCGTCGCAACGAATGCCCCCTCACACCACTGCGGGCGACAACTCCTGCCGGCGCTTCCCCGGGCACAGGCCGTGGCGTCTTTCCAGTTTCGCGCGGACTCCCACGGCGGAGTTGGGGTGGCGACGGCTTCTCGCTACGGACACGGTCTGCTATATAAGAGCTAGGCTCTCCCCAAGGTCTATTAACTGCTCTTTCTCAAGGGGAGCTCCACCTGTTCTGGACCTCCTCTGTGGTTTCAGTAATCTTCAGTTATGCTCATGTGAAGGAAGTTATTTCTATCCTGCGTGGCCACATCATGCTTATTTCACTTGCCCCTATGACCAAGTGGCTGGTGAGACTTTCAAGGATTAAGCACCTGTGCCTGTAATATTTTATTGGGGGCAGGGGGAGAGGACAGAATAATAAAAGCATTGTAACAATTTTGGGTCCCTTAACATAATAGGATAAAGGGGGAAACCAGCATTTTGCCATGTGGCTGTAAGCATCAGGGATCACAGCGGACTGGAAATCCGGTAAATACCACGGAAATTCAGTGTTTCTGAACAGATACGCAAAATGTGTTTCAGTGTGTATAAAACAAAGTGTATTCACAGTCAGTATTGGATGACTTTTCCAGTACTGACTCCTGGCATGCACACTTACACATGGCCCCAAAATTTTGTGGGTGTGTGTAAGGCCAACAGCACTCACAGTCTTACATAGGACAGTTTTGATGAACATCATGGGCTAATGCAGACATGGGTAACAACAGCAAAGATTTTAATCACTAAGGTCACTGCTGGGATTTAACTAACCCTAAATTGCAAAAACCATGACATGAATAATTGGTTTGAGAGACCAATGAAAAATAGATTTGAAGGTAGCCTGCTTCCTGAATGCCACTACGGAAACTGGGATTCCTGCATATTGGCTATATTTCCCTCAAGGGAGGGCATTCATAATCACTTCATACCACAGTAAGCATCTTGACTTCAATGAACTCCTAACCTTTTCCATTCTCTCTCTCTTTCTCTGTTTTTCTCCCTCAGGTTGTTTTGACTGTATGTCATAAAGTTTCTGTCTCCTCAAAAAAAAATATGAGGTTGGAGAGGGCACAACATCACACTAGCTCTAAGGAATCTAATCTGGACATTTTGAAAGGGGGATGGGGTATTAATTAAAGCCGATTATGTACAGAAGTAATTATAATTAGAATAGGTAGGAGGCCTGTGCTTCTAATTTTGTATAATCTCATTGAACATATTTAAAGGCAAAGACTCCCCTTTCCCAGAAAAGAATGATGGAATAGAGTTTTTATAAAGAATCTGAGCAAACCAACTTAGGTCTGAATTTCACTGAGTTATATAAAAAAGGAATTTTGTAACATACCATTGAAAGATTTCAGTTTTCTTTCCTTTTCTTAAAAACTTCATTTGGTACAAGGGGCCTGATCAAATGAAGACCATCTGGTCATTATGGTGGTGATAGGATTGCAGTAGAGAAAGATAGCCCGTCTGCTCATAAATTGCTTCTTAACTTCCTGATTATGGTGAGGGGCTGCTTCTGTTATGAAGTACCTATATGTCACTGCAATTCAGTGGATGATATGACAAGGATTGGACCTAGAGGATTTGATTTTTGGTATTCTAAACACAGTTTTTAAGACTCAACTCAGCTGGATGATAGTTGTCTCTCCTGTAAGTCCCAAATTTTAGAAACCGTATTGCAGTTACTTGATGAAAAAGCAGTCCACAGGTACTCAGAGTGAGATGGATGGTTATTATTACTGCATCTGTATCTTATTAGAGTGAGTGGTATGAATTATGATCAAAACACCCACTTCTTTTGGTGGGGATGGCTACAAGAGAGAAAGAGATGGGTGACAGCAGCTCAGCTGTACATGCAGAACACAGTACATATTTCTATTGATGCTTTTCAGTGGAGGTTGAAAACCTAATGCAATGCTTGGGGGTGGGGTAGGTTTGACTCCCACTGCAGTAGTTTTTCTAAGTGCAATTATTTTCTTTTTGAGGGAAAAAAGTAATCAGAAATTTGCACAAGTAAATAACAAGGCTCAATTAGTGTCCAGGTACAAAGAAAGAAAAGAATGCTATTTCTGGAACAGAATAAGGAGATCCAAATGATATAAAAGTATGCTAAATAAGTGGTTTGCCAAGAGCAGATGCAAAGAGAGTAAGTTATTGTGAACAATTCTAGGTTGTTTAGAATGTCAGTTTTGGAGATTGTAGGCATATGATAGGGCAGTGATGGGTTGAAGATTGCAACAGGGTGAACATTGCAAGGATCATTCATACCTGTATGGCAACTTACTCTCTTTCCTGAGAACCAAATGGTATTCATTCACTAATATGAGAGGGATATAGCTAACGATTAGCTGTTTGTGGTTCTGCATTCTTAGGATGGTGGACATGCACATGTCCCTTACATTCTTGTTAAATGCAGCCTTTTTATTTTGTGTCATAGGCCTTTGCAGCCCTGTAGATACTTGGGGAGAGCAATTTCCAGGAGGGTCACTAAGGAAGGGAGAGAGAACTCTTCCCTTCCTGTGCACAGGTTTGGGATGGGGGCTACAGTTGCAATTAATTTACATTGTTTTAAAAAAGATTAATGTGTAGTTCATCTCAGTGGAGTCATTTACAATTATGTTTACATTTCTGTAGTAAAAAGAGACAGAGCAAAATGTGCTGCTTATATGCCACCTCATAGTGCTTAAAGCATTCTTTGGACGGTTTACAATTGAATTATGTAGCTGCACATTGCACACACACACATGCACGTGAGCTGGGTACTCAGTTTACCAACCTCAGAAGGCTGGAAGGCTGAGTGAACCTTGAGCCGGCTACTTAGGATACTGTAAAACCTCGGGTTGTGAGCACAGTTTTGGCTGCAGTACAGCAGTTTAACCACTGCACCACGAGACTCTCTGTAATCTCTGGTACTGTATATCCCTGGTCCTTAGAGTGGTGATAGAGCAACACACTAAAGGTTGCTGGAACTGGCCAAACACTAGTGTAAGTCTAGACATGGAATAGAAAAACCACAGCTGAAGTTTGAAGCATTAAGTCTGTATAGGTTTAACCATCTTTTTTGTGGGTTGTAACACCTGGTTGAAGAGCCTATTGGGAGAAGCAACAACCAAGATAACATGGACTCTCTCTCTCTCTCTCTCTCTCTCTCTCTCTCTCTCTCTCTCTCTCTCTCTCTCTCTGTGTGTGTGTGTGTGTGTGTGTGTGTGTGTGTCTGAGTCTGATAGGGTTATGTACCTGTGTAGCCTCTGGCAACCTGCACAATCCCAGAGTGCTACCAGAAGGCAGGGCTGGTAAATCACTTCTTAATATTTTATATTTTGAAAAACTGAAGAGGATTGCCATAAGTCATAATTGATATGAGAACAAAATAGCATTATCATTATCATAGACACAGGCTTTGACATACCATCACTATAGCTGCAATTTCTTGTTCATAAAATGGAACTATTAATAGCTTTCATCGTGAGCTGTTGTGAAAATGAAATGAAAACTGTTTTCCATGCTAAAAATGGCATGGAAAAATGTGATTCTCTGGACAAACGTGTATAGTTTCTTCAAATTGCACTTTAAAGGCATCAAGAGTAACGGCGCGGAGGTTTTCAGGTCAGTTTCTAACCTCTGTCAGTTCTTGTCCTACTGTGACAATTCTGTTGAGTTAAATTGGCTTTGGTGGGAAAGTGTTGTTAGATACAGAGAAGATAAATAAAACTGCTAAAACAATTGATATTGATTTATTGTTGCACATATATAGTTGTATCATCTTTCCTTATCCTCCTACGTATCATAGCAAGTGAGGGATGGGCTACTTAAAATATGGAATGGATACTCTTATGTTAAGTGGAAGTCCTCTGATAATTTCTTGAAATAGGAAGGTATAAGAAATATGCAAAAATTTGCCAATTTTAAAAATATATATATATTTTAAGAGCTACACAAATATATACATTCTGTCTTTCCCACTCAAAGTAATTAGCATTTTTTGTGAATCAAATTCAGTTTATTTGTTTATTGATTTTTTTACAAATATTAATAAACCACTTCAATTTGATTATTTCAAAGTAGTATACAAAAAATTAGAATCATACAACAAAAAAATGCAGCAACAATCATGTAGAGACAAAGAGAACTATTACAAGAAGCAGTTCAAAGAAACAGAAGAGAATAATAAATGAGAAGAAAAAGGTATCTCATGCAGATGATCCAAGAAATCAAAGGAAAATTTAAGCCTAGAGTAGGAATATTGAATAACCAACAAGGAAGCACATTATCTGACTAGGAGAAAATAAAGAGAAGATGGAAACAGTATACTAAATGCCATACAGAAGAGATTAA